TAATTAGTACAAGGTCACAAACCCTCTTCTGAATCAAAAGCAAGTTACTAACTACATAATCCAACTTGACCGATTACCTAATTCCAAATGGCAAAATTGCTTATTAACTAGGCATCACAAGGACCAGGTTTCTTTCTGCTTGTACTTGTGTTTACTAAGATATTAATATAGTTAAATAGTAGAACTTCAGGCAATTGCTGTCATTGTCAGGCAATTTTCTTTCGCAGGCAGATGGATGGCACAAACAATGAGGGCCATTAGGAAAGACTTATCACCTCTGAAGTTACAATCAATATACAAACTATGATATATTGGTACTTTAAAATGGTATACTAAAAGGAATTTGCTTGGCAGCTCCTCTGAGAAACAGTATCTGAAGCGTGAAGGCAATACTTAAAGAGTTCCACTTGACAGATGAATCATGAGTGCTTCATGTTTTAGAGGTTCAAGCCTTTGAAAAATGAAACATTGGAAATAATGCCAACACACATGCTGTATTGCAGACTTTCTATTTAGTATATTGTATGTACATTGTAACCCTCACGTCATCAAAGATCACAGAATCAAAGACAGCAAAACAGTCTGCCCAGGAAGCTTACAGTTAAAAAAAAAAAAAAATCAATGTAATTTTAGAATTCTGTCACATTATATCTCATATAAAGCAAGTGTCATAACACAAAAATATATAACGTACAACAGAATTTTGCACCAACTTTTGAAAATGCTGTACATTTCAAAATACTTATTACTTACTGTATCTGGCACAGTAGGTGACTCGTGAAGTAATGCACTTTCAGAAATGGGGAACTTCACTATACCACCACGATAGAAGAGTAGTGCCGTAAACCTTTGGGTCTCAAAGTTGGCATTAACATCTTCTCTTCAGAGACAGTCTAACTAATTTGCAGTTCTGAGTGAATTCCTTCCTGCAGTTTTGTTTTCTCTTTGTGTAGCGTTTTGGTGGCTTATTAAAATGTGAACATCAAACTAAATTTATATGCTGTTTTCCTGGTTGCAGGTTCTATACTTGCATTTATGAGCATCAGCAAAATAACTGAAGTGATTTTGACCTGTTTTCCATGAAAATATTGAGGAATACGGTAAATGCACTGTTCTGTCCGGTACATCTACACCTGTATTTTGTTTCTTTTGGAGCTGCCTGCATCGTTACGCAGAAGTGGTTTAGAATGAAAGGCAGAAGCTCCACAAAACAAACGAACAAACCTCTTTAAAATTTAGTTTCCACACAATCAGCTTTCAAAGCACGGAATTTACAGAGACAAGGGATGCGTGCCTTCTTCTTTCTTCAAATCTATGCAGGAGGCCAGGCGTTTTAGAAAATACAAGCTATGAAACATCCTACTTTTTAGGCCCTCTCTACACTTCAATGTAGAAACTTTATTATTTGCTTTTTACTTAGTAACAGTGACAAAAGAACTGCAATGGCAAGCCACAGTAATTTACAGTTTGCAACTATACTGTGTGCATCTGAAATGAAGAAGGAGTCGTCTTTAAAAAAGGGTAGCAGGTCAGAATTGCTGAAGGACAGTGAAAATTTAAGGCACCGTACAAATGCTTGATGATGATTATTGCTATGCTGGTTCATACAAAACCTGATTTGTAATTAAAAGTGAAAGTTTAGATGCGTAAGAGTCTATTAATACACCATTTTTTCATCATTGTGATTTAAATAGTGATACTTGTAAAACTGTCAGTTTGCCTTCTGAAAAGTCACAGATTTGTGTTCCTTTCCGATAACATATCATTCTCAAGTACTGAAACTGGAATCTGCAACATGTAGCATATTGCAAAGACAACAAACATTCTAATTCCTTAAGCCTCTAGGATTATCAAGTTACCTACCTTATTACACAGAGGATATTAAACCTATGTATCTTTGGAATACAGACCTAGGGAGAGTTCTAAATCAGTGTCACAATGGCCTTGTTTTTCCAAAGCATCTTTAAAGTATTTTTAGAAGTAGAACACAAATGTCCAAAAGCCCCCACACTAATATTCATTTCTAACTAGATACGTAAGGCTCAGTTGTCCTTATTTCTCTTTCCCAATTCATTTTAGTAAACTGTTCTAGATGTAGTATTGGATAATAACTGATTAATAAGTTATCTACCTATTTCAAACATTGTAGTAACAAACACCAGTTTATGCAAATTTAATTCATCTACAAATAAAGAATTGTGCCAGACTTGTTTGTATGTCCCTCTTGACAGAACCCCTACTAGTCATCTGTTTTTCTTTCATTCCACAATTACTGTGGCACTATAGAGAAGGGGATCATAAAGTTATCTTGTTAAAACCCAACCCTTTCCTCCTTTCTATTCTGTCACGTTCACTAGAACAACTAGCTTTTGTGTGAAATGTTGTTCTGCATTAAGAATAAAACAGCTCTGAACAAAAGTTTCCACAGCTTTAATCATATTAAAGAATTCTAAGAATCAGAGGTAGAATTATTTGAAACATTCTGGCAAACCACTTCTTTAAAATAAAATTCCATTTTGAAAACAGTTTTATAGATGCGCATGCCAAAGAGTAAAGCACAAGAAGTTGAAAACAATCTTTCACGCTTGCCCTTTCTCACCTTCCCTCACCCTAAAAAGACAAAAATGGACTTCCTCCTCCTCTTGCTGTCATCTTGGTAAATAAGTTACTTCTAAGTCAGCCATATTAGTCCTTGTCACCTCATTAAATAAATCGAGAGATACTTTCTTTGTAACTATTAAGTCTGCTGCTTTCATAGGACACAGTCCATGTGGGAGAAATATTGACATCCCCCTTCTCATTAAGCTGTGCCTGCTCTGCACTGAAGAAAAAAAAAAAAAAAAAGCAACCAAGGAAAGGGATCAGCATTGAATATGCATCCTGAACATAATCTTGTTTTTACAGCTGTCTTCCCACTCTTTGCAAACTAGCTACCTCATCAATAAAAATGACTATACTAATCCCACCTCACTGCGTTTTAAGTGGCATAGACAAAGCTACCTCTTCCCTGCAGCATGTAAGAAGTAATAGTCATGAAAGGTTTGGAGTTCACCTCATCCTTGACTACCTGTCTCTATCCTCTAGTATTTCCACTGATCAACTTCTGGACTTCTTGCCCTGTTACACTGTTAGGAGTGTATGAGTGTGTTCCAAGCAACAGCATACACACTAAGCAAAGGAGGAATACAACACTCAGTGCTGCCTGAAAAATGCTGGAATGCCCCCCAGTATGTATTTATATTTAGAAGTCCTTATTCTACAATTCCTCAAGACTGATTGTTATAAGCCGAGTGAGAAAACTCTTTGCCACTAACTTCATGAACATTAAAAATGAAAATTTTGAGAAATTAAATCTGCACAACGAATACCAAAGACATTAAAACCATGACTATCTTGTAGGCTGAAAAGCTCACATACATTACTTAAGCTCTCCATATAAAAAGCAGTCTACAGTGTTAAGATAATAAATCAGTAAAAGTGTAGAAGTCTCAAAGAGCATATAGTGAAAATAACACTTATAAATTGCCAGACAATGAGGTTTGCAACCAAATCATTGAAAAAAACCTTGCTTTGTTATAAACCAAGAAAATATTAAAACGTACTACTTAAGGAACACTAGAAGTACAAGGTGAAGATGCACGGTCGGTTAGTAATCATAACAAAAATGCATCAGAAGCCTTTTTATGCAATTTAAAATTTCAGTGAAAGTTTGTATTGCACATTACCCTACAAAAGTTGCAAACCTGTGACAACAGAAAGTGCTGAGTGCGTGGTATCTGTGAACCAAATCTATAGACCTACTTGAGTTTCACTCCCCCATATTCATTTGTGTAGGCCAGTATTTTTCACTTTTTTCCATCTCTTGGAATACCAAAACCACTTTTATGATGACAGGCATTATTCTCGTTTCACATTTGTGATCAGTGTTTAAATATATTACTTACATTCAAACAGTGAGTTCATGGCAGAGTTCAGGCTAGCAGTAAGTCTCCTCATTTCAAGTCCCCAGTCATACAATATTCCTTTCACTTATAGACTCCTGCTGTTACCTCAGGGATCTCTGCGCACTGGCTCAGTAAATGTTGCTTACCAACAGCATCAAAAATTACAGCAAATAACTTTATTTCTTCAGCTTATGTTCTAAATGTCATCAGCAACACAGTTAAGGACCTTTATTATATAGACAGTCATCTTTTTTTATTTTAGGCGCTGAGTAATTCTTCTAGCATATTGATTTATGATATCTTGCTGCAGCAAGATCAAGGTATTTGATTCAAGGAAAAAAAAAAAAATCAAGCCAGGAGACACTGTGTTCTTGTTGACTGGTAAATTTGATGGTTAACATATATTGAGTTTGAAGAAGAGGTGGAATTACTCCTGCATTAGCAAGTTTGCCATTCATGGTCACTTTATAATGCAACTTATCTAAGACAGAGAGAGCTCTGAACAGAAACACAACCCTCAAATCTGCAAGACCTACACCAAAGCACAAATAACACTCTGAGACAGAACACAAATTAAACCTCAGTCTTTCTAATAGTTTTATCATTACAAAGGTTTATCAGCAGCTTAAGCAGACAGGTGGGATTCTAGCAGCCTAGCTTAGGCAGTGAACTGAAGCTGCTGCAAGTGAATTTTTCTTCTGCAGCAGGAACTGCAGGAGGAAGACAGAGATGAATGCATGTCAGAAATATACCTCACACTTTGCTTAAGAAATACAATTCTGCTTGCACTGTTTTGGTCACTACTGTTTTCCAAAGACTGAAAAAAAAAAAGCTGAGCCTTCACCAAAAGGCATTCTATTAACTTATATTCGCCTTTAAAAAAAAGTCCTTCAGGCCACACCACTTAAGAGGTAATAGAGAAAACCTGCCAGTACCTGCAAGCACTATCCAACAGGCAAGAACAGAAAAGCTACATGGCAAGAGAGCAAGAGGAACTAGGAACAGGTCGCATTATGGAGGACTATGGCTAAAGAGAGAATTTTAATAGCATATATATAGTTTTAAAATAAGGTTTTATATAGAGGTAATACACAATGAACAAATACATATTGACAAAGGTTGCAGATAAGTTTTTTTTTTTTTAATAAACAGTTTATAGAACACTGAATGACTGGTGACTTTGTTTTCACACCTAAAGATAAAGCCTATGTGCATATAGATGTTTGCATATGGTAAATTAGAAGAGACTGGCCAAAGTTCAATTAGTTTTGCCATTTCAATTTTTCAAAAGAAAAAATAGCTATGAATTTTTCCCCAGAGACATGACAGAATCTCTAGTTAAACAAAACTCTCTACATGTTTTATTGTGCTGTCATTACCTTGTCTTCTATGAACTCATTGCCTTGATTTATTATGTTAATTTTAGACTGGGAGGCCTTTAGGTCAGGAGAAGATAAAACAGATTCAGTGTTTGTAAAGACCTATGTATTGTGTAAATCTGTGAAAAAACATTCAGATCACGGAGCACTAAAATACAAACTGCACAATTCACTGTATTTGGTCTGTTATTCTTTTCAAATGATGTAAATCCACAGCAGTGTAACAAAAATTCAGTTTCAGTGGTATATCCAAAAGCAGCTGTTTGCTAATATGCTCCTGGAGAAGGTGCAAAATTTGTCCATTCTGGATAGGATTGTAGTCAAATGACTGTAAATCCCATAGTTGCATCCTGCGTAGAAGGGCTCTTGTTTCTTGGTACGTTTATTTTCCTGTTTGGGCAGGAAACCATCTAGCTAATGGTATCTCCAATTTTTTTTAAATCATTTCTTATCACAGTTATCTTCCAGAAGCAAAGAAGATCGATCTTCCAAACATCAGCACCCTTTGATTTAAAAGTTTATGTTTCTTATACTTTCCAAAACTTCATCATGGAACCAGCTTTCAGTAAACACACTAGAGTTTTGCAAAGCCTCAAAAAGACGTCTATAGTCTTCTGGGTACAAGTTAACTGTTTGAGCATTTTCTGGAATCTCTAGCTCTCTCAATAATTTGCGACCATTGTACAGGCTCCATGAACTGAAACATAAAACAAAGAAAGTCATAAGGGAGCATTTCTTTATGTGAAAGGATCAAGAAACAACATTTGAAGGTCCGTTTCATTCTTTCTCAGCTTCTAGAAGTTTAACGTTTTCTTCCTATGACGTAAGTTATTTTCAATTCATACTGCAAATGAGAGGAAACCTCTGCTCATGAGGTTTGTAAATACCAAATAAAATCCCTAGCAGACAAAACCAATACCAAACCACATAACATACCTCATTAGAGGGTGACTCTCCCCCCACATATGTCAATAACAGGCATTACAGCATAAATGGATTTATACTTCAGTGCCTGGGAAATTAAAGCCAAGGTCATCCTCAAGAAGGTGATTCAGTCTAGCATGAGGTAGTGTGACCTACACCTCCCACGTATCTTCTTCTGTACGTAAATATACCTATCTATCCACTGTCTCCCCATGCACATAATTACAATGAAAACTAGACTTCTTATATATCTGCATACACATTACCATTTCCCAGATAAGAAAAGGGTGTTTAAACACACAGAAGATGTAAATTAGAAGCCCTTAAGGTTAGCTCCACCTCCTGGCTGAAGGATCGAACGGAGATTAGATACACCACTGAGCTTTAAGAAATCCATTAAAGCTCTTTGCACTTGTCTTTGCTAAATGAGTTACAGGAGTTTATCAGCATTATTAGATTTTCCCATTCTGGAAATTAACATCCATAAACAACTACCAACATATGAGAAAATCTACGTTAATTATTTTTATCAACAAGTTAAAGCCAATGCTTCCCAGAGGCCAAACACATCTAATTTATGGAAGTAGAAATCTAGTGATCACAAAGTCAAGTGAATGGCTCCCATGTCTTACCAAAGAGAGTAGTTAAAGACAGCTGCATAACTGGTAGACAAGCCTAAAGCCTGATTTTTGAATTAGGTAACAGCAAGCCATTTGAGGACATCCTCACTCAACTCTCCATAACCTTCAGTCATTTTCATTAGCCTTGCTTTGATGCTTCTCATAAACTGAAACTGTTCCAGCTTTTTAATTTCTATACCAGGAAAATCTTGGTGACTTTATTAGTATGTCTTTAAGCTGACTAGAGACTTCTTGCAGATATGTGCACTCACTGCTATTAGAGATAGAGTCAATTACTGCATCTTTATACTGTAAATGCTTCTCTACCTTCCTGCAAATCTCTGAGTACAGGCCAGGAATATGTCCCAACGATACTAAATTTGGGTTTGGAAAAATGAACTCTTCTATTTTGCACCTAGATGCTTAGAACTAAAAAAACAGAACAAACAAACAAACAAAAAAACCAATAAGCAAGCTGTATTTCAACTGCAAATAAATACTGGTTTGAGAACGTATTTTAGTATTTTTCTATATTTCTCTGAAAAAGAAGTATGCACAATACATTTCTTCCTTACTTACTTTAATCTATCAATAAGTCTAGACCTGGGTTTAGCAAGACACTGTTTCACCATGAAAATAAAGGTAGCTGAATTTGTGGGCTTCATGCCTCCTGTAAATAGACTTTGCCGGGGAGTCAGTCGTACCAAACATAAATGGTCATTTGGCAGCCACTGCAAGAAAAACAAGTCACTGCAAGTAAGTCATTTTTAAGGCAGTATCTTCCTCTAGGCAAGGGTAAGCATTTCATCTTCATGCCACAGGTAACACTTCCTAAAGAGCGTTAACTTAACAGGAAAAGACATAACAAGATAATTTCACTGAAAGCAAAGGCTATAAAATTTCATTCCAGAACTAAGACAGTTTTATCTTTTTTCAAACAGAAAAGGAAACAGGAAATACATAGGAAATGAAGCAGATATATTATCTCTTCATTTTTTTTTAAGCTAAGAACTCAGTTCAAATAGACAACACAGGCTTGACAACGTGAACTTTCAAAAGAGATTGTGTGGCCTGCATTATGCCTGTATTATGCAAGATTCCAGGTCAAATCACTTCAATTACCCTCCTTCCGAATAAAAATATGGAAATACTGGAGCGTAACACTTGAAGACAGTACTAAAACTTGAGGATTTTATGAAGTTTGGAGGGGATGGAGTCTTTAATTGTCATAAAGATACTTCTGTATTGGCAGCAATGGATGTATCATCCAATAGATCTATCGTATGTACTTCTCCTAAGGCTATAAGGAGTTACGATACATCTTACACACTCCATCTGATATGCCTCTCTACATGGCAGAGAGAGGCAACAATAACACACCTAAGTGAGTAAGGTAAACCCATTCACTTATATTCACTGATAGTCACTTCTATTATACAGCAACATTTCAAATAACATTCAATATGCTACCGCAACACGTTTTTGCAGGGAGGGTAAAACAAAAAACTCAGTAAACGTGCTTTTATCTTATTGAGCTTTTGTATAATAAAGGAACATTTCTACTTAAGAATATCAGGGCTTCTCTAAAAGAGAGAAGTAAAGAATTTTAGATGAAAAAAGCATTTTTCAATTTCTCAAATTTAAGCTTTTAGGCTTTTCAGCACTTCGCTAGCACATGGAATCTACACTGGACACAGGAACAACTAGTTTCATCGAAAACAGCAGCATCCTGACAGTGCTGTTAGTTGTGGTAATAATGGTTTTGTTCAGGCAGGTAGACATGAACCTGGGGGTAATTCTTCAGCTCTTCGCATTGACTTGTGCTGTTTATCACTATATTTTTCCTTTACAGACAATAAAAAGATACTAATTTATTTCAGTTCCTATTCAATAGCAATTCTGCATCCCACTCCTTATGCATCTACACACTGCCTGTGTGTTTTAATTAAAAGAATATTTCTTAGAAAATACGCTATTCATAGCCAGAAGATCCATTTGCAAATGCTGTTATAAAGTTATTTTAACATAAATTTAATTACAAGTGGTTTAGGTACACATTTAAGAGGAGAAAAGCCCACATAATGATCCTACCGTGCTCTTTGGTACCGCTAGTCCCCCATTTTTCAAATTAGTTATAAATGATGACCAAGGTTCCTGTAGGAGGAAACAAATAAGTTACAGAACTAAAGTGCTTTGCTAGAATTTGGAAATTACTTATCCATCATGTCAAATCAGAAGTTTACTTCCATTCTAACATTTACTTTAAAATGGTGCAAAAACATTAAAAATAGAAAAAAAAGTAAAAGTTCAAGTAATAAGCATACAAAGTCCAGACTTAAAACGTTATTTAGTCACACTCCTAACAAAGTATCTGAGTAGCACTGCTGAAATTACTTATATTCAAATAACTTAAATATATTACAATAAATATAGCGAGGCTACTTATAGGTTTCAAGTTCAGAACTTGAACCAAAGCTGGAAACTAGAAGGAGACACCTCTATAGTGGGTCTGACCAAAAGTCCTGCTAGCTCACTAATCTGACTGAAAGCAGATATATAGCAAACAGCATAAAACCTGGTCAAGCATATATGATGGTGTCTCAGGTATTTTCTTAGTCTCCAACTATGCAACGCTTAGGAATATCCTGAACCACATCTGGTTTCTATACACCTGGTAACACTCAATAAATGTCTTTGTCCAAGTTCTCAGTGAGCCATGTAAATCTTCAGAATTTAGAAAAACCTGGCAAGGAGTTCCACAGCTTAGCTACACTTTTGCTGGTTTTGATCTGCCTCCTCCAAGTTTCACTTGATGCCTGCAATTTCTGACACCGGAGGAGACACTGAACAATCAAACCCTACTCTGATGCCCATGACTTTTGAGAATCATTATACGGCCCTTCAGAAGGCTACTTTCCCCACTATATGGATAATAGTCAGACACCAAATCTCATACAGTTTCAGATACCTTAGGATGCTCTGCCTGGCCTCCAGTTGCCATTGAACAAGGGCACTGGTCTCAAGCAAGTCCTGTTCTGTATCTGCTTGCGTCATGTGCACATCTGACAGCCAAGAGCCTCCAAAATGTGACCAGCACTAACATTTAGGCACCTAAACTTGCTCCCAAAGAGTCTTAGAAATTTTCACCATTCCTTATACAGAAACTATTCCCTGCCTTTAGTCATGCTTCTCTAGGGAATTAAAAAGAAGGCAGTCTCCACATAGGGGAAGACAGTAAGTCAGTCTTATAAGGACATGAAGTTTTAAACAGCAAGCATGGTAGTACGAATATGAAGCACAGCCTAAGTTTATGGATACTGCCTTAGCAGAAAATTAAAGGTTGGTAAAAGCTTGTTGGAAGACAATATCTTGTGAAACTTTTAATTCTAGATTAGCAAAACATTAAACCATGAAGGTAGATTCCCAGAAAAACAGAATACAAAAGAATATAATTTTATAAAGCCTGAAGCAAGTGAAAGTTGATGGCCATGTGTGCAGGATGGAAAAACAATTGAAAAGCCCTTAAAACTAAATCAACGACTGTTTGAGAAAGTAAGACAGTTACCGACTAGCAGGAGAGGCAGGCCTGCTCTTTATATTGAAGCACAAACTGAAAAACATACTTCTACTGAACCCTACTCGAGAAGAGGAAAGCATACATGGTGGCAAAATGCAGAAGACCTAGAAAGAGTAGCCAATGAGAGACCGGAAGAGCAGAGCCTTTCTGAGTCTAAGTCTCACATAACACGTCACAAGATAGAAAAGACCCATCTGTTGCCCAAAGATCACTTCCTTATCTACCAGCTTCTAAGAATAAACCCTTTGAGTACAGTGGTTTGTAATGATAATACTGACATCATAATTAATAATGCTGCTGCTCAACTGTATATCCAATAGTTTTCAATAGTTCTCCAACTAATTTAACTGTCAAAATTAGCTTCCAATTAGTTTCCAACAGTAAAACATTATAAACAGTCTTCTATAAACACATTTATAGCATTTATACCATGTCAGCTGGTACAAAATACTTACCATGTGCAGAAGCTGAATTTCACATCCCACTTGCCAAAGCACAGTAAGTGCTTGGTAGGCCCTCACTTCTCCAGGTTTTGCTGTTAATACCTGACAAAACAGCAAGGGAAGAACTTTTTTGGTGCCAAACCCAAGACTGCTCTTTATCTAAACAAAATCCTTATAAATATAACAAGCGGTAAAAAATTTGGAGTAAAATCTAACATTCCAAGTTAAATTTATGTTAGGTCTCAAATACATACTGTGCACTGTCTTAGTACACCTCATCAGAAAACAAGATTGGAAGACATTATGGCAGCTTAAGTACTCTTTTGCTGCAATTATTTTGAGAACTGAACTGTGTAGGAATTTCCAGCTTACAATTTCTGGTCCCTTGTAAAGCAGACTAGAGTTTCATACAGAAGAGAAATAGGCACCATGTTTTGTATAAGAATAACGTGGGCAGAGTTAGCAGCTCTTGAGCACTTCTACATTTATGAGCAAATATTCCCCATAAGACACAAGCACAGTAAACCAAGATTGTTAAAATAGCATCAGGTGACTACAAGGAACACTAAGCAGCTTGCACAGTCACCATCTTGATAAGTATTACAGATCAGACAACACTCAGGCCAAAAATCTCATGGTTACTCTCAAATAAGGCAAAAAGAGAAGTAAATCATAACAGAGAGATCTAATTTCACACCGTGACTTTCAGCATTTCATGCCATGCCATACGATCAATCAAAAAAAAAAAGAACAAACAGCATCCATTAAAAGAAGGTTCCAATTGCTTTTACATTAGTATATTTAACTTATATTTAGAGGGCTCACAATAACACCAGAAAACTTAATAAACACAAAACAGTGACTGCCCTAAAAGGAATAGGCTGCCCTCCATTTGCTCAAAATCTGGCCATTAAAAAGATACCACTTAGCTGGATGCCAACCTGTTGTTTCTCAGAAGAATATACTAGTTTTTTTTTTTTTCCAGTACTGTGTTGGATTGCAGATTGTGTAGTCACATGTGGAAGACTTTGCTTACCTCAATAATCAAAGTGTAGTGGCTCTATATGAACCTCACAGTTCTCACAGAAAGAAAAGGCACTCCTGAACTAAAAGTCTTCGGACAGAGAATGAGTTAGGAGCAAGCAACCCAGAAAGCTAACTTGCACCTGAGTGTACAGAACCTACATTCATTCATATTTTGTCTCTTTTTTTCAATACTGCATGAAAAATCAGCTCAAGTGGACAAGTGCATCGTACTGAGTACGCTACTTAGTAATGCTGATCCTCTTCACGAGGCCTGCTGAATTCCCTCTTTCATTAACTATTACCTGCAACCAGTGAGCAATTTTGTTGCAAAAGCACGTTACAGAATTTAAGCACCTCAGAAGTTGTAATGGAAAGCAACTAGTCTGATGATGCTTATCCTTCACAAGGACAGCCTTCAAATTTGAAGGATTTTGGGTTATGTGACAACAGAATGTTTTTGACAGTTGTTACTGCATAAAGAAAATAAGAAGGAAATAGACCAGATTTTCTTTTTCTGCCAGAAATTTAAAAACACTAGCAAAAACATTAACTATATAACTGGTTTTATGTTCTGTGAAGCAATTCTCTACTACCTGTACGATCTCTTACACGTACCTCGTACTCTTTTTCACTTATAAAGAAGTTGAGTTCCACTCTTCCGTATTTGTATATGGAACTGCATTCATAAAGGGCAAAAAGTAGCCTCCATAGCGTGTTCCTTTCCTTTTTCTGTGGTAAGATTGCAAAAATTTTCACAGGTACATCTGTTTCAACAGTGAGTAAAAATATCTTTAAAATATTGTGGGATGGACTGAACAACCTAATGCTAATGCGCAAGTTACAAATAATTAAAAAAGCCTGTCAGCTTATTTTGTTTGAGAATGAATAAAATACAAACTTTATTCAAAGACAGTTTGCATAAGACTAAACCTTTAATAAAGGCACGCAAACAGCTGAGATTTCATATTTCCACAAGGCTTTTTTAAGGTATTAAGAAGTTACCTGAAAAAAACTGAAATGTAGGAAATGAGCATATAACCTCTATGAACCCAGCATATGTACGAAATAGAACATGTATCCAAGCAAGACCCAAAGATTTTGCCAAACAGTCTATGCAGCCTTTAAACATCTCAGTAATATGTGTGACCATATATACGTTTACCTGCTCTCCAGGGAACTGCTACTACACCCATAGATTCAAAAAGTTTCTCAGAACACACAGCAGGTGGTTTCACTGGTCCAGTGATCAAAGGATCCAGTCTGAAGAAGTCACCGTAAATTACTTTTAGTTGTCCATCCAGGCTATTCTCTAGGGACTGAACGAAATTAAGTTTCACCTTGAGAAAACTGGACACAGTAAGCTGTCTTGCAAAACACTTATCCTCTCTCCCCCACCAAGTTCAAATACTCCTTAAAAACAGTATCCAGTTAACAAGAGGCAGCTCAGAGTCACTTCTCATAGCTCACACAAAAAACAGCTTCTTCTGTTATGGAAGACATTCTGACATTTTTATGCCACAGAACTACAGCTTTAAAATACATTCTTAAACTAGTAAGATGTTCTGCAAGAATGTTTTGTAAAACAGTTGAAAGCTATATTCAGCTCAGCAACCCACCACACTTAATGATTTACAACCGAAATTCTTCACATGTGCAAAGAGAATTCCTTTATTCACATTTTAAATCAGGTAAGCATCTTTGATTCCAAACCTCTATTTCACACCACTGTACCACAATCCTTTTGATGCAATTTCCAAGACTCTATGTCTGAGCACCTTCAAATCCATAAGACGCCAAGATGAACAGGAGAGGGCAACACTCAGTAAGTGTCTTGATATTCCGAGTCAATTGCAGGATAATAGATTAAATAGTATTTTGAGATAATCAAAATAACCAATACTATTTTTATAGGTTTCCGAAAGGTACACACAAACATCTTGCTTAAATATACAGTGCCACAATCATTCTGATGAATATTAGCCTTAAGTTTATAATGAATCTATTCAAAGGGAGACTATGAATTTCAATATACGTAAAACGTCAAATCAGTTGATTATCACACAGTAAAACTGTTGCTGACTCTGCTAAGTAAAATCAAGCAATACTTATCATTTTTAAGTATTTCAAATGTTACAAGTAACGAACACTGACTAACTCTAGAATTCATCAGTTACACAACTGTAAGCTAATTTTTCACTTTCCCCTTGATTCATTTTAGAAATATGCTATCAAATCAAAAAACTACCTGTAAGTTTGGAAGAAAAGCTGAGTGACTCTCTAGAGCAACCACTCTAACACCTGCATTGAGCAAAGTCCGGGTCAAGACTCCAGGACCTGAAAGGGGGGAAAAAAAAGTTGTTTGTTTTTTTTCTAAGTGACTTCCTTCAGTGATTTTCCCAATACAACACTTAGAGCATACCGCTTTCAATAATGAAACAAGCTGTGTTTGTTCAAACACACTTCAAAACCAAAATCAGGGGAAAAAAAGGATTTACACAGCCTCCCTAAGATTACTCAGGGAATTAAACACAGCATCAAGGTTTGATGTGTAGGACCATTAAAAATATTTCGCGTATTTCCACTGTTTTTTTTGTTCTGCCAATTGAAACGTATTTTCCAACCTTACCGGAATTATCCTTATACTTGAAATATCCTACAAAAAGGTTACTGTAAGAAAACTCTGTGCAACTCTGGAGCCCTAGTTCCACCAAGGCCTGCAGTCTTAGGCCTGCTCTTACTGCCGCGAGTCCCGAGACTGAGCACCAACTTCTTTCCCCCGAAGCTCTGTCTGAACAGAAATGAAACCCCGTTTTACTTGGCGCCCCCACAGAAAGCACAGGCCGCTCCTGCCGGTCACCAGGTCCTGGTGCCGGGAGAAAAC